TCTCTGCTATATAAAAGCTGTAAAAGCCCTTTATCTCATTATAATTTAAATGTTAAATGCTCCATTATAGAGGTAAATTGGGTTTAAAATAGAATTTTTCAAGCAGAAGAGCAAAAAATGTAAGGTCAAACAGAGTGAGGAACCAGAGCTTCAAATTGTGGTATAAAACTTGTTAGGGCATGGATTGATCTATTGATATACTAAGAAAGTCAGACCCTCTGACATGCCCTATAGAGAATAAATATACTGAACTAGAACAAAAATTATATGAAACAGCTGTTAAGTGACAGAAGAAATGTGCATTGGACCACCAGCTTGTCATAAATATTGCACTCTTAATCAGAAAGCATCTGTCTTTTCATTTCCTTTTCAGTAATCTCTGCATTGTATTTAATCTGTGTAAAATGCTTCTTCTAACAGGTGCAACAATGTTTATAAAGTGGAAACCTTATTTAAATGAAGTTTACAACTAGAGACATTTCAATTAACAAGGCGCTATCTTATGAGGTGGAATAATGCTGACATTTGGCAAAGTCACAGATTGCTTTTCATTGGTAAAATTTAACTATTGTAAAATTAGAGTATAGATGCCAAGAAAAGCATAAAGATGAAAGGTATTTCAAGCAATCTATGTAATAAATGAACATCCAGAGAAACTACAGGGAAAATTTACTGGTGGGAATGCGGATAGTATGAAGTATTGGGAGTACTTATTATAAAATGTCATATTTCATTAAAAAATGTTAGAACTAATAATGTTCAATATCTTCCCCAAAAGTGGTATCTCCAGCACTAGTCTACTTTCCTACAGGTAGTTTTTCTCTTATTATCACTACTTGTGGAAATTGAATATAACAGATTCATAATCAATCTTGCTGGATTAAAAATCCTGTCAGAAATTCTGAGACTTGCATTATAATCATCTAAATAAATTATAAATAAATAATTTCTTTAAAAACATGAGCATAATGTTAGTATACTTAGAATGCATATACAATTTTTAAAGTGAACGGGACTGTAGCTTTAACTTCTTTTACTCAAAATGCAAAAATACTGAGCACAAAGATAGCAAACTCTGTTTCTATAGCCTCCAGGCAGGTAATAGAGGTGATAGGAGTCTGATGAAACATATGGCCCTTTAGGCTGATGGATCATTCATTTCCTAAGTTTTGGTAGAAAGAGGTGTTGAAGAAATATTCTTAATATTGTAATTGTAATGCACAATTTAGCCAATTGTTTCCATGGAAAAAGGAATCCATTGCTTCCAAAAATTCAAGTTTTCAATAAAGCTCAGAACAAACAAAAGATATCTGTGGACTGGATCTTTTCTTTAGGCTACAAATTTGCAAACTTTAATGTAATAGTTGAGGATTATTGTAATAGTTGAGGATTACTGTTAAAGAGATCTAAGATAAACTTCTATCTTGGCCATTTGTTAGCTTTATGATCTTGGATAAGCTACTTGATCTTAAGCTCCATTTCATCCTCAGCAAAAAAAAAAAAAAAAGCCAGCAATAAAAAGTGACTCATAGGAATATTTTAAATGATAAGTGAGATAAAGTAATATACCTCAGTTGCTAAATTGCATCCAACACTTTGCAACCCCATGGACAGTAGCCTGCCAAGCTCCTTTGTCCATGGAATTTTCCAAGCAAAAATAGTATAGTGGATTGCCATTTCCTTCTGCAAGGTAATTTAAAATATTTCCTATTGTAAAACTATTAAGGAAAGCAAGTATTCAATAAGTGGTAGACAGTACATATTATATTACACATATACATATAGCATATTGTGCAATACATAAACATAATGTATATTTTATCTTAATTGCATGGGAAAAGCTCTAATTTCCTTATCTGCTTTTAGTAATTGACATAAGATAAATATTCTTTAAAGCATGGATAAAGTCTTTCAATATTTATAGTTCCTCTTAATAACTGCATACAAATATTTATTATAGGTTAACACAGAAAGCAAAGGCTATTATCTGTTCTTTGGACAGTTCACCATACAAAATTGTCTCATCTCAAGCTTTCACATTTTGTAAGGGACAAATCCATTAAATTTTTTTTCTACACTAAAGCAATATAAACAAGGTCATTAGTTATAAAACACAGAAGATTCTCTTTTAATTACTTTTTTTTGGAGACAAATACAGTAGAAAATATTTTGATGATGGGAGTTAGACATTCTGTGTATAATCTGAAAAACTGATTAGCTCATTCAGACTAAGCCAGTTTTAGGGAATCAACTTTAGCCTGAGGATTTTGTTGTTTAGTCACTAAGTCCTGTTGGACACAATTGCCAACCCAAGGAACAAGGAAGTCCCGGGGAAGTTCAAAATAAAAAGGGAACCTCAAAAAAACCGGGCCCCCCCCAAGGCCTAGATGGTAAAGAATCTGCCTGGAATGTGGGAGATTCAAGTTCAACCTCTGGGGTGGGAAGATCTCCTGGAAAAGGGAATAGCAACCACAAGGGACTTCCCTGGTGGCTCAGAAGGTAAAGCGTCTGTCTACAAAGTGGGAGACCCGGGTTTGATCCCTGGGCCGGGAGACCCCCTGGAGAAGGAAATGGCAGCCCATTCCAGTAGTCTTGCCTGTAAAATCCCATGGACGGAGGGGCCTGGTGGGCTGCAGTCCATGGAGTCGCAAAGAGTCGGACACGACTGAGAGACTAACACCTAACCTCAGAGAACTTCCCTGGGTCCTGTTTCCAAATTTCCTCCCATGACCCCCTCAGATTTTCCAACTCATCATAACCCACCTAGTCAGCCTTAGAAGTATGCTTTTCTTAATGATTAGCAAACTCCTTCCTCCACTAATATTTTATCAAAAAAGTTTTGAAACTCCCCCACCAAGTAAGTCAGATAATAATAATTCTGATGGTAGCTCTGGGTAATGAAGCCTTACTATATACTTAATGTTAGCCAAGTCCCTTACAGGCAAGGTATGCATTTAATCTTTACCATGGCTCTATAGAGGCTTCCCTGGTGGCTCAGTGGTAAAGAATCTGACTGTCAAGCAGGAGACACGAGTTCCATCTTTGAGTCAAAAGATCTCTTGGAGAAGGATATGGCAACCCACTCCAGTACTCGCACCTGCAGAAGCCCAGGGACAGAGGAGCCTGGTGGGCTACAGTCCCTGGGGTTTCAAGAGCTGGACACAACTTTAAGACTAAACAACAAGGGCACTATAGATTCTGTATATATACCAAGGTTCTCTCATCTATAAAAAACAGTTCTTAAAGGAGTTAAATCATGTCTAGAACTTGAATCCAAAGTCAAAGTGAAGGTCACTCAGTAGTATCCGATTCTTTGTGGCCCCATGCACTATACAGTCCATGGAATTCTCCAGGCCAGAATACTGGAGTGGGTAGCCTTTCTCTTCTCCAGGGGATCTTCTCAACCTAGGGATTGAACCATAGTCTCCTGCATTGCAGGCGGATTCTTTACCAATTGGGCTACCAGGGAAGCCCCCAAAGACAAGTACAGTCTCATTACTAAGACTATACTATATTGCCTCTCTAAATTCTTGGCTTAAACTCAACCTGAATGAATTAGACATATTTTGAATAAAAGTTTTCTTTCAACGTGTTAACATGACAGGAGCTGGATGGGCTAGGATGAGATGGAGGGTGATAAAAAGATGTTAAAATGCATCAACTAGGAAAATTAAAAATGAGTTAATTTTTTAATTCATCAATTTCATTAAAGTATATATAGTGGGCTTGGAATGAGAAAAGATACCTCTATACATGTACCCCATTTTCAAATAGCATTTGAAAATTTAATTTTAAAAAGCATAAATCACAGTGATTGCTTTTCCACTACCCAATAATTCATATACAATAGGAGTCATCCAGAATTTCTCACTCCAAGAATATAAGTTGTTAGTGGTCATTTGTAAGTGTCTACTGGTGGCTCAGATGGTAAAGAATCCACATGAAATGCAGGAGACCAGGGTTCTATCCCTGGGTTGGGAAAATCCCCTTGAGAAGAGAAGAGCTATTCATTCCAGTATTCTTGCCTTCATGGACAGAGGAGCCTGATAGGCTACGGTCCATGGAGTTGCAAAGAGTCAGACACAAATGAGTTACTAATATACACACAGACACACACTGAGGAAATGAAGGGTGAGGGTAGAGGTCTGCAGACAAACACAAAGATCACTTTAGCAAAAACTATCAGACATTAGGAGATTGCATTTCTGATACTGAGCATATAAAAATACAATTTAGATAACAACTTTTTAGGAACATCTGTAACTGAAAAACAAACAAGGCTTCATTTTCCAGTCACTGTTTTGTTAATGAAATAATTACTTCAAGAAGGCCACCCCAGAGGCTTTCAAATACCTCCCAGCAAAGAAGGGATAATCTTGCAAAAGAAGGAATAATCTTTCGGTAGGTTTGGATCTACAGAGCAACAGTTTCCTGTGACATAACTCTGAGAAAGATAAAAAGGCTTAAGGTACAATAGAAGAATGAACACAATTAAGGTGAATCAGGCCTCTGTGATATCCTTTGGGAGAAAATTTCATGTCCTCATAAGAAAAACGTAGCATCTTTTTAGGCAAGGAAACTATTGACAAATTTTGGAAAGCTACTCCACAAGACTCACATTAATATACAGCAGGTGAAATGTACTTTCCCTTGGGCAAGGAGAGGAGAATCTATTGCATATGTCATCTGTTTCTGTGAATACTGAAGATTACAATTATGTTTTGATGTTAATCCAACAACTGCACATTTCTTGTTGAGAATCAAGCTGCGAAAATGTGAGTGACAGTATAAATCTTTTTAAATTGAATTCAGCACTATTGAAAAGAGCTGATGTTTTCAAATATTCTTACAAAGCCTCTGAACAACAAGAATAATTTTCTAAATGAAACCACATTTTAGAGTAACCTACTTGGTAAGCAAGATGAATAGCCAAGATAAAATAAAATCCTGCATGTCTGCTATATATGGAGTGTGTGTTTTGCATTTCTGTAAGCACTCACCTCTAATGTTTTGATGTCCTCATAAGTAAACCTCATGGTGGGAACTCCAAGATGGTTGATGAAATAATCAGCATCATCCTGCATCTGCTCAGAACTGATATTCGTTTCCGGGCACTGACCTCTTCTGGGACAATTGAACTTATTTTTCTGAAAAAAATAATTTAAATTGTTAGCACACACTATACTTCTTAGGTCATTCCTAAACCAATGCTATTCAACACGTGGGCCAGTATGAGCAGTATCAATGATACCCAGGAACCTATTTGAAATATGAACTACAAATGCTTAGACAACACCAATACCCTTCCAAATGGGAACCTTTGAGAACGAAGTCCAGAAACCTTTGTGCCAGCGTTCTTCTATGAGGCTCATGCTCACTGGAGAGTGACTTTAGCACTGGCCTAGATCAAGCTTTGCCTGTTGCTGCTGCTGCGAAAGCATTTTTATTATGTTGTTGCTGCTAAGTCACTTCAGTCATGTCCGACTCTTTAAGACCCCATGGCCTGTCCTGCCAGTCTCCTCTGTCCAAGGGATTCTCCAGGCAAGAATACTGAAGTGGTTTGCCATGCTCTCCTCCAGGGGATCTTGACCCAGGGATCAAACCCACAGCTCTTATGTCTTCGGCATTGGTAGCTGAATTCTGTATACTAGCATTAACCGGGCTTCCCTGGAAGCTCAGCTGGTAAAGAACTGCCAGCAATGCAGGAGACCCCGGTTCCATTCCTGGGTCAGGAAGATGCCCTGGAGAAGTAAGCACTCCAGTACTCTTGGGCTTTCCTGGTGGCTCAGAGAGGGCTGCCTGGGAAAAAGAATCTGCCAGCAATGTGGGATACCTGGTCTGACCCCTGGATTGGGAAGATCCCCTAGAGAAGGGAACAGCTACCCACTCTAATATTCTTGCCTAGAAAATTTCACGGAGAGAGGAGCCTGGCAGGCTACTGTCCACGGGATGGCAAAGAATTGGATACCACTGATTAACTTTCATTTTCACCTGGGAATAGATTTATTATAAAGTTTAATGACTCATTAAAAGAGAATGTAGACAAAAAACACTACAATATTGTAAAGTAATTAGCCTCCAACTAATAAAAATAAATGAAAAAAAAGAAATTAAAAAAAAAAAAGAATGTAGAGAAAAAACACTACAATATTGTAAAGTAATTAGCCTCCAACTAATAAAAATAAATGAAAAAAAAAGAAATTAAAAAAAAAAAGAATGTAGAGTCCCTCAAAGGTTTAATTTTGTCTTTTTTAAAGTTTTCCAACAAATATAAAGGATGGTTTGGTAGGATATAATTTTATTCTTAAAATGCTTTTTTGGAAAACCACAGAAAATAAAGTTCCTCCATTTCTTATTCAAAACTTATCCCCACATGTCTTATGAGTATATGCCAAATACCATGGGCCAAAGAGAACCACAAAGCTAAGTGCAACCTCTAGGGAAATAAAAAATGATGGACTATTATTTCTTAAACTAAGAGTTGTCTATTATGTAAAACAAATGACAGTAACTTTACAAAAATGAAACAAAAAAATCAAAATCCAGTTAAATAAGGGTTCTTGTAACTATTATTGATTTAAAATGTCTTCTTCAAAAAAATTTCCAAATATCTAGAATATTTCTGTGTTGCTGTTGTCTCGAGTGTGAAATGTGGAAGAATACCAGTCTCTTCACCAGGACCCATAAGGGGAATGAGACAACAGTGTGAGAACATCACATCTAATAGGAGGCAAAAAGTATGTATTTGGTGCAAAATTGCCATTGAATTGGCAGTTCAACTCTTCAGTCCCTTCCTGTTTCTTTGGCATGATGTAATTTTGGAAACACTCAAATATAACCTATCAAAAGCTTTAGAAATATGCATTTTAATATTCAGAAACTGAGTTATTCCAACTTGTTTCAGCTACAGTGCTAGATCCTTCAAACATATAATAATGTTTCAATACTTATTTATTTTTTGAGGTACTAATAGAGGGAGGGGACATAGGTACACTTATGGTTAATTCATGTTGATATATGACAGAAATCAAACCAATATTGTAAACCAATCAATTAAAAATAAACAGACATCAAAAAAAGAAATATATTTGCAAAGAACTTTAAATCAATTAAAACGGAAAGTTGGTGTAAGGATTTACAACCTAGGCAAGGTTTCAGCTTCACTTCATTTACAAATATCTTGGGTAATTAGATAGTACCAGGTGATGCTAGGGGTGAAGAATTCACCTGCCAATACATGAGAACTGAGAGAGGCAGCTTCCATCCCTGGGTTGGGAAGATCCCCCTGCAGTAGGAAATGGCGACCCACTCCAGTATTTTTGCCTCAAAAATCCCACGGACTTTTTAAGGAACCACAGGAGCCTGGCGGCTACAGAGAGTTGGACACGACTGAGCAAAACAGCTAACCACTAAGCACTAGGTAACTAAGCACTTTGGGAATAAAAAGTAATGAGTGTTCTAGGATACAGTGCAATGAGAAACCTCATGCTTTTTATGGTGACCTCCCCGCCACACACACACCAATTCTTTCCTTTAAAAGCTTAGTTTTCTGAAAAGATAATTAATCCTCTTTCACTCCTTCATATACTCCTGGGGCCAAGACTCCTAGAGGTTTAATACCAACTGGGAGACTTTAAGGAAAATCTTGATTATTCCCAAAGAACAGCTACCCGTAAGTACTGGAACATGAAAAGCGAAGAGACCACTTAACATCGTGTAAGAAATCCCAAGTATTTCTGAGATATCCAGGTAACTATGAAGGTGATTGTTGCACCAGAATAGACTTTTTTCTAATTGAATTTGATTGCACTGAGCAGTCAAGACACTCACCAGTGTCCCATGACTACTGTCTCCCAGTTTGCCTGCTTCACTCATCCAAACATGCTGAGTGGTGACTGGAGGCATTTGAATTTGGGAAACCTAGGTTGTTGCACCCTTTTATGTTATTAATAGGCTTTGATGGAATCTAGTCTCTTTCCAGACTCTAGCCAATAAAATTAAAATTTATTTTTTAAGTGGTCTACTCTCCCTTTACTGCATCAATATCTACATGTCTTAGAGATAGCACACATACCCTATTCATCATCAATGAAAATGTAGGTTTGGGCTTTGTTTCTTTTTGTATACATAATTCTTACATCCACTCTAAATATCAGCCATGCTCCTTAGACAGAATTTTTTCTCAATAGGCATGGATAAAAATTGACATCTTTCACACCTGCCAATACATGAGAACTGAGAGAGGCAGCTTCCATCCCTGGGTTGGGAAGATCCCCCTGCAGTAGGAAATGGCGACCCACTCCAGTATTTTTGCCTCAAAAATCCCACGGACTTTTTAAGGAACCACAGGAGCCTGGCGGCTACAGAGAGTTGGACACGACTGAGCAAAACAGCTAACCACTAAGCACTAGGTAACTAAGCACTTTGGGAATAAAAAGTAATGAGTGTTCTAGGATACAGTGCAATGAGAAACCTCATGCTTTTTATGGTGACCTCCCCGCCACACACACACCAATTCTTTCCTTTAAAAGCTTAGTTTTCTGAAAAGATAATTAATCCTCTTTCACTCCTTCATATACTCCTGGGGCCAAGACTCCTAGAGGTTTAATACCAACTGGGAGACTTTAAGGAAAATCTTGATTATTCCCAAAGAACAGCTACCCGTAAGTACTGGAACATGAAAAGCGAAGAGACCACTTAACATCGTGTAAGAAATCCCAAGTATTTCTGAGATATCCAGGTAACTATGAAGGTAATTGTTGCACCAGAATAGACTTTTTTCTAATTGAATTTGATTGCACTGAGCAGTCAAGACACTCACCAGTGTCCCATGACTACTGTCTCCCAGTTTGCCTGCTTCACTCATCCAAACATACTGAGTGGTGACTGGAGGCATTTGAATTTGGGAAACCCAGGTTGTTGCACCCTTTTATGTTATTAATAGGCTTTGATTGAATCTAGTCTCTTTCCAGACTCTAGCCAATAAAATTAAAATTTACTTTTTAAGTGGTCTACTCTCCCTTTACTGCATCAACATCTACATGTCTTAGAGATAGCACACATACCCTATTCATCATCAATGAAAATGTAGGTTTGGCCTTTGTTTCTTTTTGTATACATAATTCTTACATCCACTCTAAATATCAGCCATGCTCCTTAGACAGAATTTTTTCTCAATAGGCATGGATAAAAATTGACATCTTTCAATTCCATGAGCTGTTTGTAAAAATTGTTTTTAATTAAAGTTTTAAAAATAATAGTGGTTTTCAATGTTGCTAACACTTTTACTCAGCTATCATTGTTATAGTTTCCCTCTCACAAAACGTAATAATTTCCCATATATGCAAGTTCCTAAAATGGGAGAGATGACCAGCTCCAACCAGTGCTTACATCCTTTGTTTTATCTAACAGTTACTCAAAGCACAATTCTTGTTTTGCCTCAGTCTTTTACTGAACCCAAGCGTTCATCCCAAAACCAGAACAGATTCTGTAGTCTTTCTGTTTTTCCATGGCTAATCCCATTGCATCTAATATTTTCATTGCAGTCTCTTTCTGTGATTTCTTCTAGCTACATCATTGCTTTCATGTTTTGTGGTTTTCAGACAAATAAAACAAGTAATATTCAGCCTTCAGGATCACATTTCCTAAAATATTTCTGCATCTTTTCCCCTCCTCTGGCTTGCTTTACTTCACACATCTATTGAAAAGTCTACATCTTTTCCCTAAAAGTTTGTATTGCCACCTCTGTCACACATAAACTCTTTTGTAAACCAACTCTAAGATGTCAGTGGGGTGAATATTATCAGAATTGTTTTTAAATTATGTTTTGACAGTTAAGATCTCTTAAATCACATCTCTGGTACTAATATGCACTATTTAGGTAGGGAGAACAGAGTGCAGAATAATAGGCTTGCAGGGCCCAAGGTGTAGCTGGGCCTGATAGCTGAAGGCACTAGACTATTGAGTCTCCTGTCAAAATAAAGTCCAAATGAAGAGTAAAAGATTCAAGAAAATCAACCCAAGATTGCAAGATCAGGGGTGACACAGAGTTCCCTAAGGAGGCTTCCTGAGCTTATCTACTGAGTTTCCCTATAAAAGCTTGTGGAGAGCTTATCTGTCCAGCCCTTCTGTCTCCCCTAGAACCTTA